TAATATTAACTTTCACGTCTTTTTCGATTATGCACCTGGAATAACCTGCTTTTTATCTTCATCAACTGCCTAGTGATACACGAATATGGCATCGGTAGAAAGCCTATGCACCGTAGATTCCAAAAATACAATTTTCAGACCGTGACAAATTCTAGTTTCTGCTGCAGAGGCCTTGCAATTCAATACAATGCAAGGTTCAAAACAGCATAATATTAACTTTCACGTCTTTTTCGATTATGCACCTGGAATAACCTGGTTTGTATCTTCATGGACTGTTTTTTGATGCACGAGTAAGGCATCGACAGAAAGCATATGGACCGTAGATTGTAGAAATACAATTTTCAGACAGCGTAAATTTACGTTTCCGCCACAGGGACCTTGAAATTCAATAGAACATCAAATTCGAAACAGCCAAACCCTAACCCTCACTTATGTAATATTAACTTTCACGTCTTTTTCGATTACACTGCTGGAAAAAAAACTACTTTTTATCTCCAAGTCAAGCCTAGTGATGCACGAATGAGGCATCGACAGAAAGCTTATGGATTGTAGATTCCAGAAATACAACTGTCAGGCTGGCCCAAATTCAAGTCTCTGCTACAAGGGCCTTGAAATTTGATAGAACATCAGGTTCGAAACCGCATAATATTAACTTTCACGTTTTTTTCGATTACACAGCAGGGAAAACTGCTTTTTATCTGCACATCCGGCCAAGTGATGCACAAATGAGGCATTGACAGAAAGCTCAGGGATAGTAGATTCCAGAAATACAACGATCAGGCAGGCCCAAATTCACGTCTCTGCTGCAAGGGCCTCGAAATTCGATAGAACATCAGGTTCGAAACCGCATAATAAAAACTTTCACGTCTTTTTCGATTATGCACGTGGAATAACCTGCTTTTTATCTTCATCGACTGTCTAGTGTTACACAAATAAGGCAGCGACAGAAAGCTTATGGATAGTAGATTCCAGAAATACAATTTTCAGACAGTGACAAATTCCAGTTTCCGCTACAGGGACCTTGAAATTCAATAGAACATCAGATTCGAAACCGCATAATATTAACTTTTACGTCTTTTTCGATTATGCACCTGGAATAACCTGCTTTGTTTCTTCATGATCTGTTTTTTGATACACGACTAAGGTATCGATAGAAAGCTTATGGACCGTAGATTCCAGAACTATAATTTTCAGACCGTGACAAATTCCACTTTCTGCTACAGGGACCTTGAAATTCAATAGAACATCAGATTCGAAGCAGCCACGCAAACCCTAACCCTCAATTATGTAATATTAACTTTCACGTCTTTTTCGATTACACAGCTGGAAAAAACTGCTTTTTATCTACACATCCGGCCTACTGATGCACGAATGAGGCATCAACAGAAAGATTATGGAT